AAAAAAAATTTTTTTGGGGGGGGGGGAAAACCCCCACCCAAGGAACCCCCCCCCCAACCCTTAAGGGGGGGCCCCCCCCCCCCACCCGGGGGGGTTTTCCCGGGGTCCCCCCCCCCCCCTTCCCCCCCCCAAGGGGGGTTTTTTTTTTTTGGCCCAAAACCGAAATAAAAAAAAAATTTTTGGGGGGTTTCCCAAGGGGAAACCCCCCCCCCCCCCCCCATTCCCCCCAAAAAGGGGGGGCCCCGTTTTTAAAAAGGGCCTTTTGTTCCCCGGGCCCCCCCCCCCCCCCCGGAGAACCAATCTCTTGCTCCCCCCCCCGCCAGCAAGACCCGGGGATAAACCTATCGCGTCGCCCCCCCGACCGAAAGCCAGCAAACACAGACGTCATTTTCATTGGTCAGCGCGGTCGATGCCTATAAGAATTAAAAAAAAAACATACAACAGCCAGAAGCACCGGACAGGTACGGTACACGTATACCATCTACAAGTTTGTCGGGTTTATCGTGGGGCACCAAGGAGAAATTGTTCAACTTTCCGTCTATCGGGATCCTTTGAGCAATACCTCGAGACAGGCCAGAGACTGAGGGCAGAAGTCCCGCCGATCCTCCGCCAACCCTTCCTTCACCACCTCCCGAACGCTGTGCCACAGCGTCGGGGCTCCGCGCCACACCCCGGTGCCCGCGGCCAGCCCGAGCCTCGCCAGCGACAGGTAGGCCAAGCCCCGATCGCTTCGCTGGCCCTGCGTCCCGTCCCGCCCCGCCCCGGCAGAAAAATAAAGAAGCAAGAGCAGGAAGCACACACGCACGCAAAGAGAGAGCAAATGGGGGTCCGGAGAAGGTAAAGGATAAGCACCACCAATCGGAGCAACCAGGAAGAGGAGGAGGAGGAGGAGGAGGAGGATAAGGATAAGGAGGCACACAATCCCAAGAGAAAGCAAGCGTCCCTCGGGCCGTCGACGTACATACAGCGATGGAAGCCCACACCCACCACCACCACAGCCGCAGAACAACCACAACGACGCGCTGCTTGTACAATCGCCTTACCTGCCGGAGCGTGTGGATGAGGAACCACACGGCCGGTTCCACGAACTCCCCCGCCCCCCCCGGAAAGAACGCCACCAGCTCCGGCAGCAGCGCCATGACCGTCCTCCTCACGGCGACTTCCTTGTGGTCCCTGCGGGCCAGCACCCTCTCGCAGAGAACCCGATACTCCGCCTCCTGTCCGGCCTCCGCCATCGCCGCCGCTGCCGCCGCCGCCGCCGCCGCCCCTGCCCCCGCCGCGCCCCCGCCCAGCATCCCCAGCACCGGTGTTCCCGGCGCCTGGTAGTTGTGGTGGTGGGGGGACGGGGGCGGGGGCACCACGCCCCTCGTTGCCGCTGTCGCCGCTACGCTACCGCCGCCTTCGGGGAAGAAAGCGCCGCGGCCTTTCTGAGACTGTGCCGTGGATGGCCCACCACCGGCAGCGTTACCGCCGCCGCCGCCGCCGCTGCCGGCCGTGCTTGGCGCGCCCACGGGGGTGGCGGCACCGGCGAACATCTTCGATAGATCGCCGCCGCTGCCGCCGCCGCCGCCGGTGCCCCGCGCGGGGGGAGGGAGCATCTGCGGCGCCAGCCGCACACCGCTGCTGTTGTTGCTCGCGAAAGGGGTGGCCGCTCCTCCTCCTCCCCCTCCTCCTCCTCCGAAGGGCGTCGCCGCGCCCCCTCCGAATGGAGTGGCCGTGCCCGAAGTCGCGCCGCCGCTGCCGCCACCGCCGTAGTAGGGTCCCGGGTTGTTGTCTTCCGTGCTCCCCCGGCGGCGTCGACGGCGGCGCTGGTGGCGGTGCGCCATCCAGGGCCCCGGGTGTCGCAGGAGCTGCCGGATGACGAGGAGGCTGCCGTGAACTCGTTCGGCCGTGCCTTGCTCGAAGCCTTTTTTTTTTAGAAGCGTCGCGCGTGTTTTTGCGTAGGAAAATCGAAAGTTGGTCATCAAAATAAAACGCGATGAATTCATTGCTACTAATCTATCCCGGAATATTTGTATCTGCGGAGGAGATGAATGCGCTGTGTTCTTGTAAAGACAAAAACAAATACAAATAAAAAAAGAACATGTTGCCAAAAGACGAGTAGTCCTCGTCGTCGCCATCATCCGTGGGTACGAACGCTACAACAACAATGTTCGGTATCGGTGGGTTCACATACTGCACAGGCGCACAAGCACTGACAGCAACAGCAGCAGCATTAGCTGTTCTCCAAACAACGAACAACTACAAGGCTAAGCTACTCACGTAAAGCTACTGACGATATTCCTTCTTCAGCTGCAGCAGCTGCAGCAAATGTCTCCCAAGAACAAACGGCCACAACGCTACTTACACCACACACGTTGCACGAGCTACACAACACCCTTCCAGCAGTCTCCTCAAGGAGCAACGACCACAAGGCTACGTACACTACAATACACATGCAATAAGGCTACATCATCGTACTGTATGCATACCTTCCTCGATCTTGTCTAGCACGAGTCGGGAGTGCTTGGGTGTGCTCTGCCTTTCGTGCACCAGCTGAAGCATAGCCCCGAGGGCGGCGGCCGCTCGGACACGCACCACCGCAGACTAAACCACAAAAATCGGTTTCATCACGAACCGGTACATTCACCGCCGGAAAACACAAGACAGACAATCGGACGGTGGTTAAACAAACGGTGGAGCAACGTTGCGAGGGCTGGCTGCTGCGCTTCATGGGTGAACGGATGTTGGAGGCCGGATAGCAACAGAGAGAAGGAGATAGACAAATATTTACATAGAGAGAGAAAGACAGACAGAAAAATCGAGGGAGAGGGAGGGAGGGAGGGAGAGAGCGAGAGAGAGAGATCCTCCCTGACCGCTAAATAACTCAGATCTACACGCGCTCTAGTTCTAAAATCCATCAAAGAGCACCAACAGAAACAGCGACAGAACAGCAGAGGTCTATTAGCCTCATGGCTACAGGTCCATTGCTGTCAACGGACGACGCGCTTGTTCCACCAGGTACACACAAGACTTCTTATGCGGATAACAAGCCACGGCCGCTTGAGACAAACATAACGCACATCCCCCCTTTTCGTCCTCTCGCCGTGAGGTTATTGACCACCACCGCCGACATCACCACCACCACCACCAAGAACAACACCAAGAACAACAATAATAACGAAAACAACAACAACAACAACAACAACAGCAACGACAACAACAACACCAACATCAATACCAGCAACAGCAACCGCAGAGGTCTAGTCTCGACCGGCAGCCCCCACAGCAAACGGACGAGGCGTTTGTCCCACCAGGCATAAGTACACACGAAATCTCCGGGAACAAGAACCCCCCCCTCCCCCCCTCCCCCCCCCCCGGACCATCGCCTCACGACTACGGCATGCACGACTATGAGTACCCCCCCCCCCCCCCCCCCCCCCGGGAGGGCGTTCCCCACCACCCCAAAGGGCCCCAAAAAAGGCCCCCCCCTGTGGTAAACGAAGGCCGGAGGGTTCTCCCCCCACTCCCCCACC